TGGCAGTCGTTCGCCGTCCATCTTGCCGAGCTTATAAGATCCTTTTTCGACAATGTCGAGGACTTGGTAGGGTCCTTCCTAATTTGGGCAGAGCTTCGCTTCATTAGGATCTCGAGTGTTGATGGTAACCTTCCTCAGGACTAAGTTCCCAACTCTGAAGTGACGAAGGTTGGTTCTCCTATTGTAGTATCTTTCGATTCGTTGCTTTTGTGCAGCCATTCAAATGAGTGCAGCTTCTCATTTTTCATCCAACAATTCGAGATTAATATTCATAGCCTCGTGATTTGATTCTTCTGTTGTGTGTCGAAACCTGGCACTGGTTTCCCCGACTTCGACTGGAATCAAGGCTTCAGAGCCATATATTAAAGAGAACGGGGTTGCCCCCGTACTGGACTTTGATGTCGTTCGATATGCCCAAAGGACTTCGGGTAGAATTTCTCACCACTTTCCCTTGGCGTCGTTCAACCTTTTCTTTAGATTCTGAAGGATAGTTTTGTTCGTTGACTCGTTTTGTCCGTTTCCACTTGGATGATACGGTTTTGATAAGATACTTTATATTATATGTTCTTCAAGAAACTTTGTTAACTTGTTGCCGATGAATTGCTTTCCATTGTCGCATACGATTTCGGCAAGTATCCCAAATCGACATACGATGTGATCCCAGATGAAGTCCATAACCTCTTTCTCTCTCACTTTCTCGAACTCCTGTGTTTCAACCCTTTTAGAGAAATAGTCAGTCATAAATAAAATAAACTTTGCTTTACTTGGGGCCGATGGCAGAGGGCCGAGATATCCATCCCCCATTTCATGAATGGCCACGGGGATAGGACTGAATGAAGTTGTTCTCCGGGCTGATGGATCATCGGTGCGAACCTTTGACATTTATCACATTTTCTAACAAACTCTTTAGTGTCTTTTTCCATGCTATCCCAGTAGTATCCTGCTGTAACGATTTTGTGAATCAGTGGTTTGGCGCCGGAATGGTTCCCACAAGTGCCTTCATGGACCTCTCGTAAAACATAATCGGTGTCTCATGGTCCTAAACATACTGCCAATGGTCCACCGAATGTTCTTCTGTATAATGTTCCATCTTCAACCAGTGTAAATCGAGCAGCTTTGGTTCGTAGGGACCTCGACTCTTTAGAGTCCGATGGGAGCTTTCCGTTCTTCAAGTATTCAATATATTTATTCCTTCAATCCCAGGTTAAGGTTGTAGAGTTTATCCCGGCATGACCATCCTCGATCACAGATCTCGAGAGTTGAACGACGGTCCCCGAGCCGATCTCATCTTCCTTGATCGATGACCCCAGATTTGCAAGTGCATCGGCCTCACTATTTTGTTCTCGAGGTACATGTTGTAAAGTCCATTCCTTGAAACGGTGCAAAGTCACCTACAGCTTGTCCAAATACCTTTGCATTCTATCCTCTTGAACTTCGAAGGTTTTGTTCACTTGGTTCACCACTAGCAAAGAGTCACACTTGGCTTGAATGACTTTTGCTCCCAAGCTTTTAGCTAGCTCGAGACCTGCAATCATGGCCTCGTACTCGGCCTCATTGTTAGTCAACCTAAAAGTTTTGATAGACTGCCTAATAGTGCTACCCGTGGGCGGCTTCAAAATGATGCCTAGCCCCGACCCCTTCACATTTGAAGCACCGTCTGTGAAAAGGGTCCATACTCCCGATGATGTGCCTGATTTTAACAAGAGTTCTTTTTCAACTTTGGGTACAAGGGTTGGTGTGAAATCGGCCACGAAGTCCGCCAAAATTTGAGACTTGATGGCCGTTCGGGGGTGATACTCTATATCGTACCCACTGAGTTCGACGGCCCATTTGGCCAATCAGCCCGTTAGTTCGGGCTTGTGCAGAATATTACGAAGTGGATAAGTGGTTAACACGCATATAGGGTGACACTGAAGGTATGGTTTTAACTTTCTAGAGGCGCGTATCAGTGCAAATGCCAATTTCTCTAAGTGTGGATATCTAGTTTCTGCTTCTCCTAAGGTTCGACTTACATAATAAACGGGAAATTGCGTACCTTGCTCTTCTCGAACTAGGACACCACTTACCGGGATTTCCGATAATGCCAAGTACAAGTAAAGTTTCTCATCTGCCTTTGGAGTGTGAAGCAGTGCTGGGCTCGATAGGTATCGCTTTAATTCCTCTAATGCCTGTTGGCATTCCGGGGTCCAGGTGAAATCGTTCTTCTTTTTGAGTAGAGAGAAAAATCTGTGGCTTCGATCCGACGACCTTGAGATGAATCGGCCTAAAGCAGCTATCTGTCCAGTCAGCCTCTGCACGGCTTTTACACTGTCCACGACGGTGATGTCTTCGATGGCCTTGATTTTATCGGGGTTGATCTCGATCCCCCGATTCGACACCATGAAGCGCAGGAATTTGCCCGAACCGACCCCGAAAGCACATTTCTCGAGGTTGAGCTTCATGTTATATTTCCTCAAAATCTCGAACGTTTCCTGCAAATGAGCCAAATGGTCCTCTGTGCGCAGGGACTTAACTAGCATGTCATCGATATAAACTTCCATTGACTTACCTATTTGTCCTTCGAACATTTTATTTATTAGGTGTTGGTAAGTAGCTCTTGCATTTTTTAGCCCGAAGGGCATTACATTATAGCAATATGATCCATACTTGGTGATAAATGAAGTCTTTTCCTGGTCTGCTGTATATGGTTGATATCGTTCTTTGTTCGATCTTGGCTCCCTGTCGACGTCCCTCGGGTTTTAGCTGCCGACCTATTTGGATAAACGAAATCGGATGGAGCTCCCAACTGATCATCCTCGACCCTGATCTTCGATTGGTACCGATTATGCACATCGGCCCAGGTAACCGCTGGATATTCAATCAGATTCTGCTTTAGTTGGCGTGACGCTACCAAACTTCGCTCGCTCAAAGCTTAAGTGAAGGCTTAGACAGCCCAATCATCAGTAACCGGGGGTAGGTCCATGCGTTCCATCTGAAATCGAGATACGAACTCCCTTAACATTTCATTCTCTTTCTGTCTTACTTTGAAGAGTAAATTGTGGTACCATATCATTGCCCCCTTTGGTAAAGTTTACCCAAATTTTTTCAACAAAATGGACTCAACCTCATCATCTTCTAAGTCATTTTCCTTTATTCCGCATGTGTACGAAGTGATGTGTTCATTAGGATCGGTGGACCCTTTGTACTTAGGTATGTCCGGCATACAGAACTTCTTAGGAATGGACTTCGGAGCCGCACTTTGAGGAAAAGGCTTCTGCACGAACTTTTTCGAATCCAAACCCTTTAAGATCGGGGGTGCCCCGGTATCTGATCAACTCGGGAGTTGTATGTTTCCACTTTTTTATCATTAGCTTCGATTTTCTTCTCTCCTGACTCAATTCTTTTGGTGAGCTCCTCGAGTATTTTCATTATTGCAAGATCGGTCCCCGATTCGTTACCATTCGACCTTTCTGGCACTGGCTCGGTACGGCGAGTGATTTCTGGCTCGAACCCACTTGGAGTCCTATGTTGATTTTGCAACTGAGCAATAGCGGCATGTTGACCTTGTAGCATCTCGAATATCACATGGAGACTAACTCCTCCGTCTCCTCTGCCCTGTGTACCTTGACCACCAGATCGGCCTTCCCTACGTACACTCCCTCTGGGGTCCGCGCCTAGGTCCGCATTTAGAGCAACGTGCGAACTGACATCGACTGGATCGACAACTGGTGCTCCCCCGAGATTAGCCGGTGGCACCCCGGCTCTTGGAGCAATTACATTGTCGTTTTCCCCGTGAAACCCGAGACCATCATCACCATATGTGGGTGTGGTTTGTTAGTTTGACATGTTTTAACCTGAGAGCAAAAATACTTGACAAGAACAAGCATGAAATAATGTGTGTTATTAGAATCCGTACCGAGCAGCCACTATTATTCTTAGCCCCACGGTGGCGCCAAACTATTTACCCTCAAATTTGGATAACAATTAAACTTATATTGTGGTTTTAAGGATATGTGATTTCGTCCAATACTAATCGATAAGCAAGAAAATAAATGAATAAATTAGAGAATAAAGTTAGTCAAACCAGTGTGTTGTCCAGGTCTCAACCTCGACTTGGGATAGCCTCGAGGTGGGATGGCAAGAGTAGTAAAAAATAAAGCAACTCTGATGAACAGTAAGCGAAATAGAAGGAAAGTAATGAATGTATATATTCTTATTAGTGAACAATGATGCCCCTTACAAATGAACGGGATCTCTCTTTATATAATAGAGGAGTCCTAAATAAGGTACCTTCTAACTATAGTAGGAAATCATATTAACATCTAATTAACCGTTGTAGATCAATCCGTTCCGAGATTCATGCCACGATTCTCGACCAATCGCGGATATCTCGCCTTTTCCGTTATCAAGCCATGTCGGTGTCACTCTAAGTCTGCCTCTTTATGTCCGCAATCGAGGTAGGCCTCGACCCGGACTCGATGTCCTAGCTCTTTGACGTGACATTCCTATCTCGACCAAGGAATGAAATCGGGTAGCCCCAATTTCCACCGTATACAGTTGTATTAATGTACATAAATTGATATGATTAGAATGTGTTTTCTTAATTATCATGTGACACCACTTACAAAGAATCCTGCGGCTGCTGCGCATTTTCGTGGATGTCCATCTTTTTCGTCATTTGGTAGTAATAGTTCCCCAAAAATTAGGGACTACCAGTGGAAAACTCAAAGATGAATTTGGATAATAAAAGGTGAATAGCACGAGCAGTTTTTGAAGGTTCACATGTCATTTCCTCTTGTGAGATCCGAGGGTGTTTACTGTTTAGATAAGTTTATGTATGCTGGTTAGAAGCATTTTTTGGTTTATTTACGCATTGGTTAATAATAAAAGTGCTTACAAGTTGAGATCAATTAAAAGATATAAAACCAAATTCTTAGTACTAGGTTTGCTCCTGATGCCTTGGTAACCAGAAACACCATTCCCAAACAAAACACCTCGAGTCCTAAAGTGGGATAAAGACAAATCACAATGTTAAGGCCATTAATCATTAACATAAAAGTAAAAATTATCAGAAATGTGCAGCTGCAGAATTTGAAAGAGCGACTGTATCAGCCCCCATATTACACAATTGCACGACGATACTGGAAGTCGGACTAACCAATTTTATACTATTCTGACATCTGCTATGAAGATAAAACGCTAACAAAAATTGCTCCTTTTAAGACTATACACAAAGACAAGCCAACTCCCGGGCTTCATCTCAAAAGAATACCAAAGTTCCTCAAAAAGAAAAAAAAGAATGCAATCACACCAGACCTCCGTGTGCTCTGGCGATCGACCATCATAACTATATTACGGTTGTCAAGCCCCCCCTGAAAATCTTGGCAACCTCAATCACTATAATCTCCGGACTCTGAAGAGTCCGACTCTTGATCCTCATTGACATCCCCATCCCTATCTGAGTCGTCTTCAACCATGTGACCATATCTTTCCATATTTTGGCCATGGCTTCTGTATCTATCATCGTTGTCATTATCAGGGTCGTCATCGTCATCGTCATCATCATTGTCATCGTCATTGCCATCACCAGCAAAACCATCCTGATCCTCATCTGACATTTCCATTAAATCACTCCTGTTAAACTCGTATGTATTTTCGGGAGCACAGTCATCAGAATCAGCAGCTTCCATACTATTACTATCATCATTTGTGGCTTCTATTCCTTCAACATTCATGTCAAACTCTTCTCTCCCATGCTTTTTAGGTGGTACTACAAAAGTTAGTCGGCTGCCTTTATCACCCAAATAATCTGGTTGAATCTCTTCAACAATTTTCTTCTCTATTCTCCTCTTCCTAACAGTTCGGCGACCTCGTACATGTCTCTGTCCATGCGTTTCTCCCTGCTTAATAAGAACTTGAGTTAACGTCTCAATAGGCCTTACACCAGCCCTGCCAGATTCTGGTATTTTGCTAGCAGATCCTTTCTGCAGCCTTCCACGTGGACGACCCCCTCCTCGCCCACGAACAACTTGCCTACTTCTTGAGCTGCTAGGCATACTGCTGAGGTAATCCCAGTTCTCTTCTCTCAACAGTCCATCTCGATCTACTTCTGTTGGTTCTACCTTTTGCAGATCTTTCATAGAAGCATACCCCAAAGATGGATTCTGTATGCAAGAACAAATAAGTCACCAATCTAATACAGAAGAAAAGCATCATTAGCCAAAAAATGGTATCAATTTTATAGTGACAAGTCCAGTCCTAGATGCGATTCAATGTCACACCACATGCAAGTTGACAAATTGTATTACACCAAATAAATCAATAACGACAGTATCATGCAGTACAAACAGACATGGATAAATATTAAAACCCAACGTAATTAATAACAAAATTACTTGAATTAGAGGGGAAGACAACTCAACTGGAAGGCTATCTACTTTATTTTTTAACTCAGCCTCAGTTTTCTGCTGAGGATCATAGGATATCGAGGCATCAAGCTCCAAAAGTCTGAGAGCCACTGCACCAGTGGTCTGAGGCATCCAAGGGAGTTGTGGTACAGATCCAGGGAAAGTAGATTCACAAGCCGCATTTATTGATAAAGCACATAGACCCATCAATTCTTCTGCAGTCTCATAGTCGGCAGACAAGTAATCACGCTTGATGACGCCCTCCAACTGAGTCAGAATCTACAAAAAAAAATTCCAGACAATCAAGAACATTTTTTTCTTGCATCTTCCAAGTTTGGAGGGGGCGTATAGAAACAGGTTCAGCAACAGATATCAAATCAGCCGACCTACTATACTGGAGGTTATTATGCATGTGCACAGGGACATGCTTTCTGCAAAGAGCAGTCTTTAGATAATCCCAGCATCATTAACACAAATAATTTGAGGAACAACCAAGGTGTGAAACCAATTCCCAGATAAATGCATAACCTTTGCTTTTCTATTCTACTCTTTCCTTTCCATTTTTCAACAAGTATAACAAAGAGAACTCGCTAGGACGAAATCTTGCCAGTTCCTTATCATACATAATAGCATATTCTTATTTCACTAAACTCACAACACCATAAAATAAATTGTAGCTTGAAAAGACACTTCAATCATTAAGCCTAAATCAGACTCCGACTCGTAAAAAGAAATTGATAAAGATATAATTACTCTGTCCAAAAAATTGATGACAGGGTTCAGATGAGGCCCAATGCATCAATTTTCAGAGAGAACTCGTACATTGAATCCTCAATTTTTTCTTGTAATTGTCAAGAAAAAAGAACCTTCGATCTTTTGGAAACTCGAAAATACAGGAACTACATAAAAGAACTACAATTCATATTTGCCTATAAACTAGATAAATCTAAAAATCATTTGAAAAACTCGTAAGAAAAGATAAATTTGTTCAACTTCCCAATAATAATGCCATATAACATGAGCCAAAGGGAGTGAGATAAACCTGGAGAAGATCCTCAGGAGACAACGAATTTTGCAGCTTCATGCCCCATGTCTTTCTACGGTCTTCTGTCCAAGATGATTGAAGTGCCTCACATGGCACATAAACCTGTCAATTCCAGAGCAAAATAATTAAATATTAAAAATCACACTAGAAGAAACTAAAAGCTGTCAACAGGGTGTGCCTCATATTTACTTGATTTTCATGTCTGTCCAGACATAGAAAGATAAACACATAAGGAGTAAAGCGAAGGTGAACAGCCTAACAGAAAACCAGATTCTCGGAGATAGATCTCAAAGAATCTCACCTCAAGGAAACTCAATAGGGCCTTCATCAATCTGACTCTTAGAGGACAAGCATTTGACACCGCCAATTTATTGTAATCAATTTTCAGATTGTCCATTGAATCCATTGCCTGCTCTGGGAACTCAGCATTCATGTCAACTTTGCCACTCATCTTGTTGCAAGAAGGGCAGTTGCCCTCGTCTGAAGGATAAGAATCTAAACAATGGCCACAAATGCCCAAAAGCGGCAAGCACCTTTTCTTCCCATATCGCATGGCACATAATATTGACGAGCTGAGACATTCTTTCCACATCCAGCTCTGAAAGCCTTGGTATCTCTTGAAGGCATTCTTTCTCTCTTCCTCATTCTTTCCGAGCTCAATTTTAAACGACGAAGATGTTTCCCAGGTATCAGAACCCATACCATAAATGGTACTGCTAGGACTGTCAGCACCTGCACCAGAGGCTGGGCTTGAACTAGCTGCAGAAGATTCATTTTTACATTTGTTTCCATGTTGAACTATGATATCATCATAAGACATATTTCGTCGCACACGTTCTTTGAAAGGATCCTCAATCTTTTGCAACATAATATGCAAATGTGATTCCCTGACCCCTCGAGCATCCAAAGAAGCCAAAAGACAATCAAATGCCTGCAGGTAAAATAACGGATTAGTAGATAAACAGATAATAGCTATATACAAGACCTTGCTAAGATCTATATAATTATACAGGGTGTTTCCTTAACCCCAATAACTTTCCTTAGTCAAGAAAAGCAACAATGTCCACAACACCTAAACACAATAATTCTTTCGAAACTTTGAATTCATCTAGTTCTTCATTTCTTTAGTGAGTCATCTCATTGTTCTTTGTATTCTCTTCTTCAGTCATAAATTACTTTCCATTTCTTACACCTAAACACTGAAACAACCTCTTTGCAGAAATGCAAGGTAAGGTTGCATACAATAGAACTAACTTGATCAGTCCCATTCTCGGACCTGCCCATAGCGCAAGCTTGGTGCACCGGGCTGGCCTCTTTTTTGTTCCTAACCAAAATAGTGCAAACATCTTCCCTTCCGTGGAACATATATTCAACCATACTGAACCTGCTATGACAATTTATTAACAGCGAAGTGTATTCTGAAAAAGAAAGGAAGGAACATACCTCTTCAGTGTCAATAAGTCTCCAGCAGCCATGAGGTGATTCAACAAATATCCTACCGGAACCAGGATCTTCGCTAGAACCAGAGGCAACAAATAGCCAGTAGCGATTGCGTCTGCGGTCTTGACCTAAAGGCAATGACCTGTATACATACATTTCTTCTGCTTTGTGGCCAATGAAAGACTTTAACTGCATGCGTGACCTTTCTGCTGTACTCCCACTTGGCTGTATGGCCAATTCACCCATGAAGGTTTCTTGTGCCACTAAAGTCTTTTCAGCAGAGATGCTTTCAAAGTGGTTCTGAACATTGTCTACGACAACAGCAGATTCATCCTTAACCACCGTGGTTGGTGTTGTCCCTTGATTTTTACTGTTTGGAAATCCCAATGGGCTTTGGCTGCCCTCTACCACAGCATTGAAGGAACTATCAGTAAATTTATTGATCGTCTCCTCCTTCAATCGTCTTTTATCCAACTGGGCTTCAGCCCACATTTGTTTTTTCAAAGCATTTGCTGCATCCAGACGATCCTGCAAAACCATCTTTCTTAGATAGCTGAGAGAGACAGTAATGGTCATTACTGATGAATTTGCCAGATTTATTACCTCAAGAATTACACGGATAGAATTCCCTTCATTTGCTATGCCAATCAAGGCAACAAGAGCATTTAGACGCTCCTCAACACATAGGTCAGAGTATTCACCTTCAGTGAGTCCTTGAACCCATGGCTGACCTGCTTTGCTCTCATCAATTTCTGAACATTCTTGGCTAGGATTACTTCCCTCAATACCTATATATAGATCATCAACAGATAATGAAAAATAGTGTTTTCGACAACTACTACACAGTGCTTTCACATTAAAAAGGGCAAATAAAGCATAAAATAAATCAGTAGTTAAAATTATGTCCTTACCAGCAACATCAACTCCAATTTGTTGTGCAACCTCATCAGAGGGCTTACTTTTTCCATTCACCAAGCAAGTGTCAAGTATGCTGCATTGCTCGCTATTCTTGTTTGCACCATATGGAGTACCCAGGTCATCGACTTCTGGACCTTCAGCAACATCACCTTCACCTTCAGAATCATCATCTCTTTCTTCATCTTCAGCATTTTGTCCAGAGAGAAATCCATTAGCATATCTTTGTATTTTCTCCTTGGCTGCTGAAATAATTGCATCAGCATCAGCAGGATCCTTCCTGAAAGCAAGTCGCACATTGTACGTTGAAGGAGCAATTCTTTCAAAAAGTATTGGATCCCTTGATAAAGCAACAGATATAGAGGCTTCTGGAGTCTTGCTTGTTGAAAGGTCACGCAGGCCAGATTTCTGGGAACAAAAGGCAGAGAAGTAAATTAACAAGAAAAATCCTCAGACATATTGAACCAATTAACATAAGAGACAGCGACAATGTGCATCAAGAGAACAGTTACTTGAATCCTTTCCGCAATATCTAGAACATTCAAGCCCTTGTCTCCCTCGAGAGCGAGAACATGGTAAGCAGCAAATTTCACAGTCCCCGGTGTCAACCGATGCCTGGATTTGCGCTGCGACATAAATCCTTTTTCTTGCATAATTGCAACAGCTTTTTCAGCTGCCGAACCACTTCGCAGAGTGGATACAACATCTTCGCAGCCTTTAGTCTGCATAATAGGGAAACAATACCATAATTAGACATAGTGCAATATCTATTTGACATAGAATGTCAAAGACCGGATGCAGGTACCATTCTAGGATAAGAGGGAGCTCTCTGACGATCATCATGGAATTATCATTAACAGAAAACGACAGCATCCCACGAAACAACAGTTAAGCCTCAATTCCAAGCAACTTAGGGTCGACTATATGAATCCACAGTAACCATGTCGTTCCATTTAAAGACAGCATCTCACCACATAAGTCCAAAAGGTAAAGCTTCTAATCAACGGAGGAACTATACAATATCAGCTAATTGAGATAGTTGGCAGAGCAAATGACTTGGGATGATCTACTAAAAGGTGATATAATTTATGGCTAGGAAGCTAGTTTCCATAATCAATCAATCAATCAGAAGCAGATTGACTTTGACTTCCCCACTCTCTCATCCAATTCTGTACCACAATTCCGATTCATAGACCTACATAGCCACATACATACCAACATTTTATTTTTGTAAAAGTGGTGTCTAGACCAACTTAAACTCACCTCGACTATTTCCACCAGGTACCTTTGCTCAACCAGGCTCAGACAAATGGGTAGAAATCACCTAGTGCTTTTTTGTCTCTACTGGGATTTGAACCCTGGTCTCCCGTGTTTTCACCCACTTCATAAACCGATAGCCCACACCCTTTGGTGCGACAAATATATATCCCAACATAACATGCATGTACATGAAAGAAACAATGGTTGGAAACGACAATTGAACGACGAAACAGTCCGACTCCTAGTGGTCCAAGATGATTTCAAGACACAAGTCTTGACAAAAGTACTGTGATAGCAACTGAATAAGCTATGATCAAAACTAGGCAGATTAGCAAATGGAGCATGAACTTGGGCTGATATTAACCAGACCATATATCTGGTAAAGCCATAGAAATAGCACTACCACCAGACTGAAACATAAGATAACGACTTGACACGGCACAAAAACAGCTGGAAGAAAGCATATATTCAAATTGCAACTACTGTCAGTCCTATGGCTATAGCAGAGAGCAATCACAGAAAACCAGTTCAAACACAGTTAGAGTGGTCCCTTCAGCGTAATCTTTGTTACTTTAGTTTCTAGTTAAGTCAAATTTGGAAACATTCAAGGACAAGGAACTATGTGGTTTTTGCATTATGCATCTCCATAAGCTTTGATCAACTTCAAAATAACCAATTATTAAAAAAAATTGCTATATCTCCGTCTGCAGCAATCAACGTCAAAATATCCCACTACATAGATTATTACCAAATACTAGATCTTAAACCACATATAAAAATAGAAGCCACGATATATTAGCTAAGATGAAAATTAGGACAGAAAATGTAGCACCTCATCAGAATCATTCAAACAAGCCCTTTCTCTCTTTTTCTTCAATGGAGGTCCAAATCCAGCAGAGAGCGCAAATTGACGCAGTACTTCAGGCCATGTCAAAGGAGTTAAGTGTTTCTGCCAATTGCGTATGTCAAAACCCCAAAGATATGCCTGTCAATGAAGTCCACAAACTGGTAAGCTTTGATCATTCTAAAAGAGAGTACACTACGGCCTACCACCAATGGAGTATCGTGGAAAAACATCCAACATGGGTGTGTTATCCATGAACTTGATAAAAAAAAAAAAAAGCGTGCATTACGGCCTAAAGAGGAAGTATGCACAGCAGTGATTACCCCTTCAACTATTTGAGGATGTCCACCTTCAGGATTGACAGCACTATACTGATTTGTTCCAGGCCCACCGGAAGGAGTTCGAGCAACATCTTCAATATCTTTTATAATCAGTTTCAGAAGAGCAATATGTATCTCAGCCAACAATCTGGAATCCTAAAAAGAAAAAGCAAGTAAACTAAGGCAATCAGTGCCCCATCATCCAGCCTGTTTTAAGAGATAGGACCACTTGGAAGCCCATAGGAACATGCCGAAAAAGCAACTCAGACCCTGAGTTCACAGTTAATTTCAGCCAAAGGTACTCACATAGTCATGGAAAGCTTGAAGAAATTCATCAAGAGTGAAAGGCCAAAGCCCCAGAATATCTGCAAAATTTAAGCAGAATCTCCAAGCCTGTAAAAAATCAGAAGGTTTGATGTTTAGTTCAAAGGCACTAAAGAGACCTGACTCAACTGAAAAGAGCAAAATCAATATAGAATTGTACAGGACGTGGTGTAGAATGCCATCATCAATTACAATCCCTCCGTCCAAGTAAAGATGACCTACTTTCCACTTTGGTCTACCCCAGAAAACACTCACCTGTTTCTTTAATATCTAAACATCAGTCCCTCCTAAAAGTCAAACTAATATAAAGCAAATACTACTCTACATCATTTCAAACTTAATGTGTAACATCCTTTCAAGTATTAACATTTTATCTCTCACACACAATTTAAAATTAAATAAAAAAATATTAAATCCACAGGTGTCATTTCAGACAGAAAGGCACATGACACTACCAGTTTGCTTGTAACATTACAAAAGACCCCTTAATAAAGATGTTCAAGTAAGACAAACTTCTTAAAAAAAAGTAAGATAAACTTGAAACTTGCGAAAGATAGAAATTCCTACGTTAAACTGACTAGAAGCATTCACTTTTGAGTTTATATAATCCGGATGAAAAAGGAAGTCTCTCTACCATACTTAGCCTATTTCAATCTGAAACATAAACAGGCTTTGCAATGATCAGTGGTTTAAAATCCTTGCACCAACCATGATGAAGTACAGATAATTAAAAAAAAATAGGAGTAAATATGCGGCTTATATAATCATCAAAATTGAAGTGATCATCGATGTGTACTTGATAAGTTGAAGGATAAGAAAAACATCAGCCAACTAGTGACATAGACATATATAAATGAGCCATTTAAATGATCAAGCAGCATACCATAAGAAGATTCCCAACATTGTCATCTGAGGCATTCCAGGGTTGGATGGAGAATGGCTTTTTCAATTGGACAGACTTGGGAGGGAATTCACACAAAGATTCTGGATCACATAAGATGTATTTCAGCAACAAACCAAAAACTTCATCACCTTTGCAGATAAGCAGCTTAAACAAAACAGAGAGAAGAGAAAAGAATGAATTACATGTAGAATTTACTACTTCAAACTGGATAACAGTATAAAACTTGTACCAACAAATGCAGGTAATCACTGGCTTTTATGGAAGCCCTACCATCTAGCATGCACTTTGTCAGAGATACAGATCAAAAATGCGACAAAAATGAGGTTCCAACATATGTTATTAACTACTCTGGAACTAAAGCCTTAAAACTAAAACATGCATGCAGATATAATTTTCATTGCGACAGTCAAGTTAACAAACTCCTACCTCGAAATGACTCAAGGTTCTGCAAAGTATCATAATCAAGAGACGCAATTGATAGTAACCCTTTGCTAGAAGCAGCCAGATCCATGAGTTCCAAGCGCTCATCCTCAATCAGCTCCATCGATTCTTTAGCAATTCTGCGCGCCATTGCCCTCTCCATAGCAACCTTCTGTTTTGCAGCTTCCCTTTCTTTTCGAAGCTCTTCTTTTTGCTTCTTCCTCTCCACCTATGGATTACAAAACCAATAGTACCGGGAAGAATTAGATTAGCAGATTTTGAAAGAAAAAATTAAATGCGCCGGGAAAATAAAATTCTCATTCTGAATACCAACCCTCAAGAGCTCTTTCTGCAAAAACCTCTCCCTCCTCTCCATTTCACGCTTTTCCTCGCGCTGAAATCGCTCCTCCTTCCTCTGTTGTTCCCGCATCAGCCTTTGTTCTTCCTTTCTTCTTTCACGATCCTGTCTCTCCATTTCCTTTTTCATTTGTTCTTCCCTCTTACAAGCAAATAGTAGTGTGTCAGTTGTAACAGGAAAAATAGTTTTTCATTGTTTACACTTTTGCAAGGAGATGCAGAAGGTGCATATCCAGAAATGTAAATATTCCATACTTTCCGTCGTAGTAGATCTTGCTTCTCAAGTTCTTTCCTGATCCTTTTTTCATTGGCTTGAACTTCCTTCCCAATTCGAGCTTCTTCACTCAGCTAGAAACCAAAAAGAAAGGGTTATTGCAAAAGATGAAGAGACAGAAACAGAGTGGGGGAAAGGAAGTGGCTTCTATGGCAGCATAAAGATAAAGAATTCTGAAGGTTCAAGGTACCTTGCGCTTCCGATCCAATTGCAACATGTCCTCATTACTAGGGACAAATTCATTATCCCGTTGAGGTGATGGAAAGCGTCCCTGCCTGCTCTGTTGAGACATTACATTAATGCTTTGACCTTCAACGCCATATTCCCTAACAAAATGCCCATTCCCTTGCATGATTGGCAAGTTTTTAGAAGGACCGTCAACAGGTGAATCATAAAGGTAAGGGGCTGCAATTTGTCCATATTTATCAGATACAATCTTGGGCTCAGCAGGTTCACGATGGCCACTTGTCAGAGCCTGAAGATCAAGTAGAACAAAGGTTCAATATCAAATTGACATGCTAATAAATCTCACTTCCAAGTTTTTCCATTGATAGGTTATTATCCACAGCAAACCTATCATGAGGTATCTTTTAAACTACATCCTAGATAATAAAAATTAATATTAGCAGCATTGCAGCAATCACACAAACTGAAAGTGAAAATACTGGTCTCATATGCAATGACTACATGAAAAGATATAAAAATATCCCATCAAAAACACAGACTCGGGGGCTAAATTACGATGGAAACAAGCGAGGCAATTATTCTAAGGCTAGGAGCATCAAACGAAATAAATGACTTGCAAAGTTATCAAACAGAGGGGTTTAGGAAAATCCAGTGGAGAATAGCAGAAGAGAGTAGCTCGTCCAGAAGACAGAAAGGATACAAAACAGTACACGTCCTATAACCGCTCAAAGGCTTTTTGCAATGTGAAATACCAAGAAACTGATCTCTTTATACATACCGGAGATAGAGAGCGAGCTGACCCAACATTAATTTGTTTAGCATCATATGATCCATATAATTTGCTGTCATAAGAGTGCCTGTAATGGTCCCGACGTTCTGCCATCTCTGTGCCATACATGACAAACAAAAGACAAAAAAAAGTCAGGAAACAATCCAAAAAATTGCTTTTGATCCAAAATGAGAAGTTCTGAATGAAACATTGGGAGGCGATAGGTTAATAGCAGACAACGCATTAGAAGTAATCTGAATTGATAAGAGGGTCCTATAAAAACAAGTGTGTATAGATCGTCCACGCTGTTTAAACATCCAGCGGCCAATGATGGATGTAACACAACTGCAGGGGAAATGAGTAGAATCCCTTGAACATGTTTCCAGATTAGGTAGGCAAGCTTCAGGAAAGCAACTCACAACGCAATGTTTTGATGTATACTGAATGATCTTGATCTCATTTGAAATTCACATACAGGCAAGGATATTCATTACTTCACTTCCACCATTCACATCAAGTTATTACTGCTCTACGTCTCAAAGGCAAATTAAGAGGAATCCAAAAGTACTCCAAAGGGCAATTTACAAACATATATGATGCTAGAATCTCATAAAACTGGGGAAGAAATCAACAAACAATAATAAAAGGCACTCAATAATGCAGTGTTCTGGTTGAAAATAATCTTCTGCCTGAAAAGATAATCAAATCATGTTTGTCAAATCAAGTTTGGACTTATATGACACCGAACTTTATGCAACAGAGCTAATGCTCTTTCAAATATAATCATAAGAAAAAAAATATGCATTCACAAGCATAAGAGATAACATCATAAACTACACCTACAAAGACATGGAAAGATGGGAACCCAAAGGAAAACAAATTGTCAAATTCTTTCATTTCAATACCAATATCCAAATCTAGAAGACCTTTATTGTACATGCATTAATATTATAATATCTCTAATAACAAAAAAAAATTAATTTACCAATAGGTGTTCCAAATGCACCAGGTGGCAGCTCATCAAACTCTACCCCAAGAATAGGACCATCTTCACGTAAAGGTTCTCCTAATTGTGCCTCTATACAAGCTATCACCCTGCGCTCCATTGTCCTCCTAGGTGATTCATAATATCTTACAGGCGGTGTTGGCATACCATCCCCATTATCAAACCGACTTGACCCTGACCCTGACCCGGACCTTGAAGCTGATCCTGAGTCACGATCACTAGCAGCTTCAGCAACCATTAAATCCTCCCTAGGTGACACTGTCAAATTCCTCCTCCCACCTGACTCACCAGCACGTGGCTTCTTTTCTGTCCCCCCTGATGTGTTTTTATCCTTTAACCTCCTGTGACAAAACCACATCTGTAATTGCCGGTCTGTTAGACCTAATTTTTCTGATAGCTCAGCTCGAGTGGCCTCAGATGGATACGTCTCCACTGCATAAATAACAAAGCAAAACAAAAGAATTAATGAACCAAATTTCACAAGTACAAAAACACAAACACATAAAAAATTTGATAGCTAAAGGTTCACATCAGTCCATGCATGGGAATGGCAGAAACTTCTATAAAGACCAAATATTTGTCTACCGGATCTCTAAGTCTATAATATCAATCAAACCCATGACTGGTTCAAACACATAGAGCAGATAAATATTAAGCAAGAATTGCATATTCCACAGACACATTACTTCCAAAAAATCCTTCAACACACAGAGCATAATCAAAAGGCAGAAGTACAAAACATACACCATAACAATAACACTACTAAAGAACCTAACCATATAAGAGTGCAAACATTGAATGATAGGAATCCACAGAAAGACCCAAAATTTCACCTATATCCTAATATCAAGCATAGTATCCCCATCCCAGCTGTTTCCTAGTACATAAATATTCGAACTAGACAAAATCATCTTCTAATCTCATGACAAATAGCAAATAGACACATGGGAACAGCATAATACACCAAAATCTCCAAGATTTCCACATCTAGAAGCAATTTAAACAAACCCCAGATCAAAAAAATGAAGTCAAAAAGTGAAAGATAAAGAAGACATACTAGCATAGACTCTTTCTAGGGTTTCTAATTGAAAGGGAGTCTTCATCTGCCGCTTTGGTTTCTTGGGTCCTTCAGATGAACTCTGATTAACGTTCCTATTGCCTTCCCCTTCCGACCCACCATCCATTTTTCAGATCTTTCTTTCAAGAAAACCCTAAAAATCCAATCTTTGTTGAAAATAAAACAACCCCTTATTACAGATGGGTAACTATATATTCTTCCCGTGACAGCCAAGAACACATGAATGAAAAATGATGAGGTAAATAATAAGAATAAATAGAAAAGAGAAAAACAAAAATAAACCCAATACAGAAGGGAGGCGAAAGAGGAAGAATAAGATGAAGAAATTGAATAAAAAGGAACAGTATAGTAGAACAAGTCCCTCTTGTTGGTTCCAAATTCCATGTTCTTTCGGTGTGTAATTGTTGTAATTTTTAATTTTTTCCAAATTTCGTTTTTAAAAAAGGAATTTCCAAAACACGTTACAAGGGTACATGTACTAACTTCTTTTCTTGTTGTTTAAAACAAAACACTTGAGTTTTTGAGTCTTTTTCTTTTTTTTGACAATGAAATCAAATGGAAATTTTTATGTGCGTGTTTCATTGATTGAGAGGCACTTTTGTTTCTCTTTTTATAATATTTTTTTTTACTTTATTTTTATTTCTATTTAAAGTTGGACTTTCTGGGTTTTTCGGTACTTTCAGGTTTATCTTCACTTGTAATCTTTTGTTTCACATCTTGCTTGAAGAATCTTCTCTTTTTGGTGTGACTAATCCGATTTGTGAGGCTCAGGAATTTGTTTAAGTGGGCTCCACCACTTTTTGGGCCTAATAGTGTCTTCATCGTTGGGCTTGTTATATCAAATATGAAATGGGCTTGCAAATTATACATAAATAGCCATCATATTTATTGTTTACTTTTTCTAGCAATATACAAAATTATATATTGACTATACACAATTACACACATATAATACATAAATTATGCATATATTATACTTCCGTTGGATATTTTAAATTTAAGCGGATGGGTTCTTAAGTATGAAAAATAATTATTTCAACTGCATGACTAATTGAAATGACACGAAGTAGTCGCTTTAAGCTTCCATATTTAAAATGTATGTGTTTTAAAAATTTAATTAGTATTATCCGCTTCGATCCATAATAAATGACTTTTTGACCTTTGGCACACCATTTAAGAAAATACTAACTCCTATAGAAAAAAAGTATTTTGAATTACCCTTATTTAAAATTTGAATATTGTTAACTTAACACCTTGGAATATATAAATAAGGATAAATTTTGAAAAAATAAAGTTAATGCATTCTTGATAATGTTAAAAGACACTTATTTTGGACCAAAATAAAGAGGTAAAAAGGTCACTTATCATGGATCTAATGGAGTAATTAATTTAAGACTGTTCATATTATCTATTCTTCTTCTTACTTTTGGGTCAGCTTCAGACCGCCAGATCTGAAGTTAGGTTCAACATAGTATTTGCAACAAATCTTTTGCGATACAAAAAATAAACTGCAATCACAAAATAAATAAATAAAAACATTATTTATTGATAAACAACACGGGTACAAATATGTTTTTTCCCTTGATTCTTCTCTCCTAATTATCTCCATTAGGGGTGTGCATTCGAATCGGTTTATCGATAAATCGAATCGATTATTTGTTATCGGTTTATCGATATCAATTTATCGATTTACCGATTTCGATTTCAAAATTTTTCTTATCGAGTTATCGATTTCGATTTCGATTTTGTCCTCTTTGGTTATCGGTTTATCGATACACCGATAAGATTACTAAAAAAAACAATTTATTTTTTTTAATTTTTTTTACCCTTATTCTATAATACCCTTTCCTTTACCCTAAGTTCCTAACCCTATTATTTCCTCTACTACATTTAAGGAATGATCATATTTAAAGCTCAAGGGAATGAAGTTCAAATTAATGGAAAACAAAATTAGCCGTGACGATGTATTTTGTTTTGTTTTTTTTTATATCGTTGGAATGTTGGTGGCATACATTTTATCCCTTACTTTAGTTTCGTTGCATGTGCTTGTTGACACAATTTTCATGTTATAAACATTGTCCGTCTTATTTTAGCTTCTTTTTGTCCATATTAGTTAGGCGTGTTTACAGCGATATACTTTCCGTGGAATCCCGCAAATTTTCTTATTGGTGTAATCGATAAGCCCCAAAAATCGATAAATCAAAATCGAAAAAATCGAAACCTTATTGAAACGATAAGCATATGTACAAATTGATAACCGATAAGTAATTATCGATAAGGGTCAAAATCGAATCAATAAATCGAATGCACGCCCCTAATCTCCATGGTCCGAGGGCTGGAGCAACATGTTTCTTGAACGCAGGATGATGTGGACTTCCTTAGAATGTATTTGATCTCCATGAAAAGGATGTTGTGGAGTTTCTTGAAGTGTTTAATTATCAAGAAGTATCTGACCGCATCTTGGTCTCTTTGCGAGTATTCCACGAGTATATGGAATTTTCGAGATGATCTCAATTTTCGAGATGCCTTTTTAAAGGAATATGTAACCTTTGCTATAGGAGTGACCTAGGGTTAGGCAGAGCAGTCTCCAAGTTAAGATTTTGATAGAGTAGCCTCCAAGCAACCCTAATAGACTCCTAAAATTTCAAGAGTCGTCATGTATTGTCTTTAATTTAGGATTTAGCCCAAATTTTTGTATGGGATTAATCTGCTAAAATTTCGATGTCTATAAATGGCTCATACTTCAAGGTTTGTCGAGGTGTAAGCTTGCCAAAACTTGAAGTACTCGACCATCGCAACAGACGATTTTAAAACTTGTAATTTTCAATTTGTAGGAGGAAGATATAAAGGTCATAACTGGTCTCACTTGGCGTGCCAAATTATTTGCAACAAATTTTTAAAATATGAAAAATAAACTACAATCATAAAATAAAAGAAAAATATTTTTGAAAATCAATTGTGAGTATAATTTTGTTTCTCCCTTGATTTTTCTCTCTTGATTGTCTCTTTGATTTGGGGGTTGAAGCAGCGTGTTTCTCGAACGTAGGATGATGCATACCCTCTGTTAAGAAAAATATTTTAATATCTCAAAAAGAATATTTAAAATTATGTCTAGGTTCATTATCTTAATATAATATTAATGGGTCTTAATACAAATGTAACTGATGGAATAATTTTCAATTACAAATTTGAGAACATTAAAACTGATGAGTGAAGTCAATTACTGTGATTTTAACATTTTGGCATTTGATAGCTTTCGATGATTTTAACGTTTGGCATCTGTACACTTAAATGGCTTTAACGTTTTGTCCTTGAGCCTTAATGGCTTTAACTTTCATCAGATCCATATTACTTTTGGAATATACATAAATATATCTTCTTGTGTTCATTTGGTAATGTGTGTGGAAAACTTCTCCTTTTCTTTTGTGCTAGGTTTTCTTTTATACAATCTTTGTTGTTTCTGCTTCTAATTATACTAAAAGAGCTTGTTGAATCCTGGGGGATACGCTAACAATATTTATCACAGTATGGGTGTCGCGCCCTCTTTTTTATCGCGGAGTCCGGGTTTCGACATTTTTGGGACAACTCCTTTTCCTTTTGGGAATTGGGTATGGATTTGAAGAGTCGCCACCTAACGGATTTAAGGTGCGTTAGGGCACCTAAAGCAAATAACTTATAAACCGGTTTGCATTACCAGAGATTGGGTAAGGGCTCGAAATGACCTTGAGGGGAAGGTGTTAGGCACCCCTCGAGGTCCACAACGGTGGGTCCCGTCCAAACACGAATTAGGTGAATTAGTCTTATAAGCAAACAAAGCAATTTAGACAAATAGATATTACGTTTAAAACAAGGGGTAAAGGGGTCCTAGGTTTTTTAGCCTATAGGATTACTTCTGTATAATACTTGGTAATCGTCCCCAAGTTGGGGTGCTACACATAGCATTAGCGCATAGGTCATCATATCTTTTACTACCCAATTACCCTCCCCTTAGCGGTTATATAAGCGATTCTAATTAAATGTACTCTATGCGTGCATTATTCGTCCCTTACTTATGGTCCTGGAGGTGTTTAGGACTTCTAGTTAAGGTGGATCTAGACTCTCATATAGTGCTTAAAAGGAGAAAAATATAAGCGACAAGCAAAACAAATAGGACTGTTAGATAAAGGAACAGTTAAAGGCTCACATTTACCTCCACAAATAAACAGGCAATTGCACATCTCAAACAACAGTATTTCAGACACTTTAAAAGTCCTATAGCAGGATATCTAGGTGAGCACAAAGCAGAACATATGTAGCATTTTTATTAAAGCAAGGCAGAAGGTACTTAATTAGTTTGCCTACTGATTTTAGGACTTGCTGAATCTGGGCATTTCATAAACAGTCAAACAAAGCACGGTTTTATAATTTTAAGATTTTAGTCGCCCTATAGGCTTGCCTAGGCGGGGATCAGAGATGTCCTTGAACATGATATCTAATCGTTAATCAAAACTGCAATAAACCAGTAAACGATTTTAAGCACGCAATTTGGTTCATTAGGTCCTATAGGCATGCTGTCTAAGTGCTGAAAATAATCACAAGCGTTGCAGAACTAATTTTTAATAAGTTTGATATCTAAGTGTTGGGATTGTTTTTATACTTATTTCCTATAGGCATGATTGCTACTTGAAGAAACTGATTTTTTATACGATTTTAATACATGTATGATATCGAGGTGAGTGCAATAAAAATCCTAGAACATGGTTTCTAATGCACATATTGAGGCTGAGTTAGCGACAACCTAGAGACAGGATTTCTAGCGCGGATGTGAACATGCATAAAAAATTTCAGAGCGAATAGCATGATGAACCTATGAACATGTCTTATAATGCATACAATAACCTATAGGCATGGTTTCTAATGCAGGTAGATAATCATAACGGTCCTAAGAGCAGGATTTCTACCCGATTTCCCCACAAAACATATATTAGTCCCTCCCATTTTTACTAACATCCCCAATATCTGTTTTACAAGAATTATTATTACAGACCAAAAATGAATGGGTTACAGAAGTAATACTGCTAAACTATAGGGAGCCTGGATAGGCCCAAAAGGTAAACCTAGAAAAACCAGGCCTTCAACCAAGTATGAACATGCCAATATTCTCATAGTGCACCCAATGGTATCTTGGTGTGTCAAAGTTCCCAAGGGCCTCAGGGACCCCGTGCAATGCTCACACCAAAAAACTTTTAAAGAAACCTTTTGTGAGCAAGTTTCGGAGAGCCAGCCCCAGTATGTCAAAGTTCAGAGGAGTCTCATGGACTCCTAGGCAGTGCTCACACTGGAGGGGCAGGACCCTAGATGCTCTAAGAATAAGAGTTGAAAACAGGAGATAGTTTTGAGAAAATAGTTTTTGGATTTTCAAGGGGTAAGGAGCAAACAGATTCATTCAACACTTAGAAAATTCCAGCAATCCAACAGTAGACAGAAGCAGGATCACTTCAAGCAAAGTTTCAACTTAGTTTACTGTTGTTACTAGGTGAGTATATGGACAGACACTAAACAAAGGCAT